GGGAAGGGGGAAAGAACATGCAGAGTTGGAAGAGTGTTTGTGGTAGCCCTGAACTGGGGAATGCCACTAACCACAACTGTGAGAGAGGATCAGATCCTGGAGGGGTTGGTCATGCTTGGTGCCCTCATCAGCAAAGGTGATAACAAGCACTAGTCTAGATGATCTGAAAGCTCAAGATAATAATCAGCTGTGTCAAAGTTTGTCAGGTCTGACACTTCTCTTATCAAGCGTGAAGCATACAAGCACATTTGTCCTGGAATACACAGATGAGTTTTCTCATACTGATGAACTCATAAAGGTACAAGATGTATGCATCAGCAATAATAAATGGGTCAGCATAATAAAATTCTAAGTACTGACAGGGAAACATAATGATGATGCAAGATGCAAACACATTAAAGTTATACTAAATTGTCCTGTCTTACGTTTTTGTTGCTCTTCAGAGAAAACATTAAAGAGAAAGAAAATTTGCAACAGTGTATATATTTCAGTTAATAAATTTAAAATTTCTTTTATTCAACATACAATCATGCCATTCATAGCAAGACAAAATATCATGGAATACTAATGTAACCTTCCTGTATTCACTAGAACTTATTTCTTTTCTATATTTATACTCATTTTCTATATTTATACTCATTTTACACATTGCTTTGCTCTACTGTAGTTTCACAGTAGAACTTATAGTTACTGATGCATTCAATGTAAAAAAATTAGCAATATTTGACATTTAACTTCATTTGCTTGACCTCAAATTAGTTATATGCTTATTTAATCTATTGAATATACTAGCATTCAACCTTGTCATTTTTCTTTAAAAAAACCTAAATCTTGCCACTTTTCATTAAATAATAGGTAAGGTGAACTGTTCATTTATTTTTCTATATTTACAGAAAACTCCAAATTCTGAAGTATATTTACACACAGACAATCAGAACAATTCACAGATGAAGTCCTAGCAATTATTTTAGTACAAATGTATTACCAAAATTAATTTTAACACTTGCCACTAAAAATGCACCCTTTGTTAAATAGAATGCTTGAGAACAGTAGCTTACAAAGTTAGATGAAGATTGAGGTGACTTCTAAACAAAACTTTTCCAGATTGTGAAGACTGACTACAGCCAGAGGGAAATAAAACACCATTTGAACAATGCTCAGTAAGAACAATTGCATTATTGAATTGCAATTGCATATTGAAGACAAACCTTATTTATAGTCCCAGTTCAGCCACTACTCCTGCCACTGCTAAGCTGTGTGCCCCAGGTTTTCATCTCAGTGTTCATTTAAGGATTGGAAACAGTTTTCAGATATTTTTTTTTACTTCTTCATATTCAAAAATATTCAATTTATTTTGGTTTCCTATATGCCTATGTGGGCTTTTCTTGGACACTACACAAACATTAAAGATCAAAAAATATTATTTGGGACACCCTGGAGGCACATTATAACACAAATAATGTACCTTGTTCAAAGTCTTTTTGCCACATTTTCTAACAATGAACACCAGAAATGTTTACAATTATTACATGTCCTTTCTGCACCACATTTTCTAAATGAGAGAGAAGAAAATGCATCTACTTGTCTTGCTTGACTTTTCTTGCCTTTTTTTAATTTTAATGATTTAGGTATTAAATTGACAGGTATTAGTAAACAACACAACTTTAAGCTGGTGTTTTGTTGTTCACAATTTCAGGAGACTTCTCAGAAGTTTTGAGTGCTGGGAGATTTTTTTAACATTTCATCAGTCAACACAATAGCCCATATAAATTACTCAATTACCAAGCACACAAGCAAATTTATTTATCAGCTGCCCACTTTCAGAACTGGAGTTTTCAGTAACCATTTCTCAGACAAAATCTTAAGGAGTCAAGAATACTGTAAGTGATTTTTTTCCTTTCACTCAGAAGTTTAATGTCAGTTCTCTTTCAAATGCAGGGGCCAAAAAATTGTCACTACTGGTTTGGGTTTGGCTGTTTCCTTCAGAGGCTTTTGCTAGTCATGAAAAATATGCCATAATACTTTAGAGACTGTAGTTTTAAAACTGTACATACCTCAACACTAAAATGTCAACAACATTGCTACACAGAAGACAACTATGGATACACTGTCAGAAAATGCTTCTTTAACTCTGTTTCAAAAAAAAAAAAAAATAATTTTGAGATCATAGGGTCTCTTTCCATCTTCAGCTCAAAACTTCATCTTATTCAATTATTATCCCATCTGACCAATTTAAAGTGAAATATATTCTCAAAGCCAATTATGTTCCTAAAAGTTTTCTTGAAAATTCTATTAATAAGAAGGAAGAGGATCAAACTAATGCTTTCACATTGAAAAAGACTGACGGAACTCTGACATTACATACAACATCAGCTGCCTGGTCAAGTAGTTTGAGCCCAATTGCTGGTCACTTAGCATGTACATAGCTCAATATTAACTGTCTTATTACACCTCTTGTCCACAAATATTAGCATTACAGCAGTGAGGATGGAAAGTATTCATATCTATAAAAAGAAGCCATCATCAGTTGAATTGTTGTTCAAACAGACTTGTTCAGTGCTTACTCCTATACTTAAAAAAATCCAACCTAATATTTAACTTTCTCTGTCAGAACTGTAGATTTAATATAATATAAAAAAATTCATTTGCAGATACCTTGAGAATTTGCTGATAGAGATACAAGTGTCAGTTACTCTGCAATGCCATAAAATAATAAATGCAGTACATTATACTGGATGTAGAAGGTGATTGATAATTACTTTGCCATCATGTTGTGCAAGTTCCCAAGTCAATGATTTTTAATAGATACATAAGTGATTCAGCATTCATATTTAGGTACCATGAAGTCCCTGTAGCCTTCAAAGTTCACAGAACCCCAGATTTTCAATAATACTCTTATTTATTTTGTTCAGAAGTTATTTTGTAGCAGCTTGGGGAATTATATAAGTTCCAGTCTTTCTAAAAATACTGTGATACAGCTGCTTCCTGAGCACCTTTGAATTTCCTATTTCATCCAACTGCTTGCTGCAACTGTCACTTAATAATAAACTTTCTCCACTATTCAATAGTTGTGAAAGTAATTGATTCCATTGAGGAGCATTGATGTGCAAAGAAGGGTCATATTTTAGACATTATCCTAGTAAAATAATCCTAGGGAAAAAAAGGGATAGAAATAGGAAAACAACTACACAAGCATCACTGCAGATAAGGGTTCCACCAACATGCCTGTCAATGTTAATATTTGCCTCATTGCTACACAAGCTATTTTCCTATAGCAATGAAGTTGGTGTTTGCAGCTATTCATGTATCTGGGGAGTACTTGCTTTATAACCTGTGCAGTCTTGGAAAAGAAAGCCAAAATGATGGAAAATTCTAATTCTTCATAATGCCTCCCAGCATTAATTGCATTTAATAGAGACAATGAAAATTCAGTTCACCTGAATAGGAAAATATGGTGCATTTAAACTTTCCCTTGGTATCCAATCAAATAAAACATTCTTTATATGATCAGGATGTTAATTGTGATCTTAATTATTTCCAATGGATCATTGAGGTTGGCAGTGACCTCTGGAGATCATCTAGTCTTAGTTCCCTGTTCAAATCAGGATCACTTACAGCTGGCTGCCCAGGAACACAGACAGTTTTCAAATGTTTCTAGAGATGTTGACAGACTCCACCTCCTCTTTAATCAAACTGTTCAAGTCTTTGACTACCTTCAGAATTAGAAAGTTGTTTCTTAAATTAAAACAGGATGTTCTCTATTTCAATTTGTTCTTATTGCTGAACACAGCAGTTCATCTGCAATCCCACCAACCCTGAGGGGAAGAGTCACCTACCCTGACCTGTTGGTAACAGCGTTCATATAAACTCAGTACCAGAACATGTTAAGTCTGCAGTAGGAGGAATCAAGCAAGAATGCTTGATTCATGTACAAATATTCTAATATTTAGTAACTAAAGTCCTTCCAAGACAATCTGTAAAATCACATCATGATCTTTCATCTGACTCTAATATTCTATGCACCAAAAGAGAAAATATCCTTCATATTTGTGGGCTTCCTCTTAGTCACACCTTAAAAGACATTTGCTCCAGTGAAAATGTGGATCCAACATCCAAATTTCTCATTAAAAATACCTCATTGGAATACAAAATAAAAGATTAGCTTGTGATTAATATGCACTTTTTTGCCTACAATAAAATTTGATTACATGGAGTGGAAGCATGGAATAAAAAGTACCTGAATGTGAGAAATAAATAAAATGTTATTACTAGTCATTTGCATATCCCTATGACAGTTCATGAAAACCTAGCTGCAAGAGGTACAAACAGATAGATGGTACAAAAAAAAAAAGCCCATACAGAGGTCATCATTCCAGCAACCCTTATTCTAAGATGAATTTTAAAAGTTAAATTGCACATTATCCTGACTTTATAAATCTGCATATTAAATACATTATGAATACATTAAATTAATATTTAACCCTGACATTTCAAAAATTTACCTGTTCTGCAGACTTGAGCTAACATATTAAATTTACAATACTGAAACTGTTTCAAAGGTCCACAAACTGTATTAGCAATAACTTCCAGGTTAAAACATTATTCTTGCTTGTTCTTATTCCGCAATAGTGAGGGTATTCAGTCACTGTACTTCATCTCAGCTGGTTCCCAGTGACTTGGGGCAGAAGCAGAACACACAGTTACATAGAGCACAAACTGATTAATATTGAAAATCCAAAGCCTTAAGTAAAATAAAGTGTTTCAGAAATGCAGTTGCAGTTTAGAAATGCAGACTGCAACCTGCACTGGCACAGTGACAAATTTGTTCCCTTCTTCCTTCAGTCCTACACATTGCAACGTACTGGAGTTGAGCAGCCACAACACCATTCCTGTTCTCTTTGTCCAGGTTTGTGCCTGTCTCCACCCAGAAAACACATGCAGAGCACCACACCAGCAAAGCAAGAGGCCTGAGGCCACAAGAGGAGTGCATTGCCCCATACCTTCATGGCAGCAGCAGTGCCATATTGTGTTACTGCACTTGGGAGCCTGATCTCAGCAGTGCTTATCTTGAGAGAAGAGAGTAAGGCATGGACAGAGATGGGGACAGAATTACAGGGGGGTCATGATCAGCCATTACTGATCCTGAAATGCTTGTCTCAGCTCTATGATCAGTTAGAGAAAAAAACATATTTTTCAACTCCTTCCACAACATAGAATTCTACCACAACAAAGAACAAGTAAGTAATGAAAAGTAAACAAAAATATGCAGTCTTTGTTCCCATAACACAGACAATTCTTTCTGTTTAAAAAATTAAGAAGCATAGACAGTTCTGGTATGTCCTAAAATTATTTCTTTTTGCTTTTCATTCTGAAAGGTCTTATTTATACACACTGGAAAACAATTATATATAGCCATTTTGTGTTGTTTGTCACAGGTACTTACAGGTAATAATCAAGAGATGTAGTGTATAAGGCATACACAGAGCTCACAGGCTGGTGGTTCACATTGAAGTTGGTTCATTCCTGCCAAACACACATGACAATATTTATGATCTCTGAGTGTGGATGAAGCATTAAAATTGCAGACACAGAGATCTAAATACCAGGGCCTCCTACAGTTGGTACGTAGGAGACCACAGGTAGTTGGATGTTTGAATAACCAAAGCCAAGTCCTCCATCTTATCTTTTGCTACTTTTTGCCTCTCCCATACATCAGCATATGTAGAAATGGAAGCAAGAATATAAATGGTAAGATGAGTAGGAAATGTCAAAATCTGATCTAGCTTTTTATCTTCTCCCAGTAGAAGCCATATAAGAGCATTGTTCAGGGTGTATCATTGTATTCTGCCTCACACGACCATGAAAGCACCAAGACAGTTTTAAGAAAATTTTTCATGGTGCTTCGCTTTAGTCTTTAACATTAACATTTAAAACCATGAACTCCAAATATTATAGAATAAGTATGTTTAAAGAAGGTTCTATGCTCATATTTCTTTAAAAATTTCAAAACTACTATGAGAGTCTTTTCAAAACAAGGCCCTTTCTTACAGAACAAGCAAAACAAGCCTGAAACACGTGTGAGAGATGCTTTGCCAGAATCAAAAATCCCATTTCAACTTTAGATGGGGAATTCTGTTTTAAGTCTGAAAAACCTCACACACTTGAGTGAGCTCTGAGTAAAATGAAATCTTCTGCTTCTATGTGTATTTTTATGGCTTATCTTTATCAGCCACAGCTCACTCTTTGAAATTCATCAAGCTTGAATTAACTGGCATTCCATTAAATGCCTAGGATTTTCAAAGTATTCCCCAATCAGACCACATTAGACTAACCTGGTGTGATCAAATATACTCTTCTGTTATTTCCACATACTGCACCACTCCACTCCATATTAGTTGAGTGATAAACATAAACATAGAAACTCCTGCAGTCAGTTAATTAAGCATCTCAACTAAGAGTGAAATATGTATGACATTTTGACCTTTGCTATCAAACTTTCCTTCCTTTTTCCTTCATAAAAACAGCATTAATAAAATAATTTTTTAAAAAATCAATAAGAGTAGAGAGAGCTATAATGTTTTGTACTTCCATTTTATATGCTCCCAACTGCAGCCAGCTGACTGCTATTTTGTGAGTGGGCAGCTGACAGTTCCCTAGCAACAGATTAATTGATTGCAGCTTTAAATCCACCTCCTTCAACTCATTTCTCCTATTCCTCACTTTTGAGTGTATGCACACACATCTGTCAAGTAAAAGATAGCACATAGAAATCTAAAGAACAAAGGGAAAAGGATCTGATAGCAATTATTTCCAGGAGTGTTTTAAATTTCAGAAAAAATATGTTGTAATTTTAGGATGCAAAATTAATTAAAAATTATTTCAGCATACTTTTAGTCATGTTCTGTTCATGCTATTCTTTAATATAGAGATCAATAAATCTTTTCATTCTGTTTCATAGTAATGAACACTGATTAATTCAGTGTTTTTATATATAAAATTTTACCTAACTCGTAATGTCAGAGGCTATAATAGAAAAAATAAATTTAGAGATAGAAGGCTGAATCTCATAAAATAGGTCCAAGAGTTAATCTCCACTCATATAACAATAATGTCTGTCCTAATAACTTATAATGAAAAAAGCATAGGGAAATTTTGCTGCATTTGTTTAAGAGCTAGATATCTTCTATATATATTATCAAAGGGAAATATTTTCAGTGCTAAAATAGTAAATAGGTGTGAAAATGGTCGCAGGTAGGTTTCCAGGCCCTAAATCCAGTGATGCTGGCCCAAGACCCTTGCTAAACTCAATTTCATAAACTTTCTATCTGCTGCAGCTTCTGACTTAAATGCTTGAAACTTGAGGCAGAAACAAGTATCAGGTTGCTGTTTCAAGTAAATTGAGGGGTCTTAGGCATTATTAAAGAAGAAGAGTGAGTGTAAATTGAGAGCAAGAAGGAATGAGTACAGGACTGGTAGGGAAAAGAGATCTAAGGAAAGCTTTGTGGAATGCTGGAAGCACTCTCTGCAATTTCTCTGGGAAATTGTGATTCCTTCTATTAAGAGAAAATGGAGGGAATTGTCATGTTCTTAATCTGCAATAGGCAAGATCAATACATGGCATTGTCTCAACACAGTAATTATTAATCTGAATACAGAGCTCCCCCCCTTTCTAGTAGCAGAGGTGCCTTTTTTCTCATGTTGTTACTGGAAACATGCAAACCCACAAGAATGCCAGAGCCATCAAGGTATCCTGGTTTAGGTAGAATTATGGTCTTTTTCTTTCCATTTGAAGCATTTCAAAGTTTTTTAGTCAGTAGCAAAGCTCAACAATTTCCCAAGCCTGCAAGAACAGGTATGACTTTCTGCTTAAAGAGTTCTGTAAAGCTGATCAGAAAGAGGAGAGGTGAATTATGTTTCCTTCCAGTTACTTCAATATTTAAATGAAAATTTTTTCATGTTAAATGTATAAACAGGCCTGGGACCATGGAAATCAGTGCCACTTATATCCATAGCTACTAGACTCCAAGCCAGGCACTGCATACTAAATTTCTGCTTCCCTGATCATCCACATCACCAGAGTATATTTCTTGCTGTATCACTATATCTGTAGAAAATTTAGAATTCTTCACTCTGCAAGGAGGAATTAGTTTTGCAATTTTGGCTTAGGATAATCTAACATATAAGTCCATATTAGATCTGTCCTTAAAATATTAAGTTCTGAGACAGACTGAGCTGGAAGAAATTTGCAGCTTTGTAAATTTAATTTGTAAGATACATAGCAATAGTTTGAACTAACTGCACAACTGCTCACCTAGGGGATTTATTCTGAAAGTTTAGCCTACACATGTGAAAAGTATTTAACTTCAGATATTTTTCCACATGTAAAAAACATGAACATAAGTTTTCAAATGCTAAGCATCTGAAGACAATGCAGTAATGTTTCCCTTCTAATTTAAAGAACCTGCATATAAATCTCTTCCCTACTTGCAACATCCTACCCCTTTCTTTTCCTACTGTTATTGACTAAATAGATAATATATTTTCTAAGTTTTTTTATGTTATTCACTGGACGTGCCATAAAAGTGACTTGGATACTCATTCTCTTCTTCTTTTTGAGAAAAGGTATTCCCACTGGGAAGCTGCTAGCATGATCTTGGAAGTAAATCTTGGCAACATGAATCATAATATTTTCAAACATTTATTTTAGCATCTTGGCAGAGAAGAGACTCCTACAATCACACTGTAGCAAACACATTAGAGATATATGAAAATAGTAGATAAATGGTTAATGTATTTGATGTACACTACAAGTGTCTAATTTGAACATAAATTTAGATATTATAGGAGTAATTAGAAAGGATATGTATACATGTTACCTACCTTCACTTAAAAATATAGAAGACACATATAAAGAATTCCCATACTTATTTTCTCCTTCACCCAGCAACATAGAATGTTTATCTCTCAAATGGTCCTTATCATAAAAGGTATTAATTTATTTCTAAGATCAATGTGGCACACAAATCAACTCATTTTTATCACTCTCCATTTTGTAAATTGAAAATGAAAAAAAATCATATTGAAGATACACAGAGGCTTCCTGAAAGAGGTAGGATTTCTAGGATATTATATCTTCTGCACCTTTTTACCAAAAATTTGAGTCTTAAGTGAAATACTTACAGAATATATTTTGACATTTGGAAGTTTGCCATATATTTTCTGAAGAGCTTCCTTAGCCTTGCATGGAAATTTTGAGCAGAATTTTTGTTGACAATATTTCATATATGTAAAAAGGATCTCCTTGAATATCTGTGAGCCTGCACTACCTGTGATAATTACTTTTTCCAAAAATTACCTCTCAGGTGCCAAGCATATTAACTTCTCCTTCTTTACAAGTATCATATTAGTCACATACAGCAAAGAGGAATTTGTGCCTTCATTCCACCACCACCCACCCTGCTCCCTTAAGAGAATCCTTCTTCCTAGATAACTACCATAATCACTGTGCTATTATGCCAGTCATGAACAATTACATATTCTGCCTCCCTAGTCCAATAAATTTTGTATTTTATACAAAGCAGACAATCGCCAACTGAAGAAGTTAAGCATGACACACATAGAGGTAGCCTCATTGGACAAAGTTTTAGAGAATTACTATGTACATTTTTATGGCAGAAATTGTTAATTCTTACTGATTTGAAATGTTTGTGAGACAGCCATGTAACTATTTCAATAATTTCAAACCATGATGCTCTGGGAACTTTCACTCATGAAATTATATTTGCCTGATTATTGTCATCTTCTGTTTCCATTTTTGTTATAACTTTAAGCCAAATAGTCCATCTGGCATTTTCTCTCACTTGTCATTTTTTAAGTTATAAAAACACAGTATATTTTAAAATTCTAGATCATCAGTTTTATTTTCTCACATAAGTACTGAACATAAGAACTCAAATACTTTTACAGAATATTTTATGAAAAAAACCTCTTCTACTACATGTGAGATCTGCATCTGGACTCTGTTTCAGTATCTTACTGAGTCCCTTCTGACAATAATGGTCAGAGAGGAGCAATACACTGGGCTTGAACATAAATGGATGTTTCACAAAATCACCTTTTGAAATATCCAAATAGTAGAGAGGATTTACCTACATCTCTCCCATGGGAATCAGCATGTGCATTCTGTGTAAGAGACAAAGAGGCTTAACTTTTACTTTTTATGATCTTCAGTGTGCATTCTGCCTGCTTCACAAAATAATAATAATAATTGCAGAATGTCTTCAACAGACAGGTGAGCACCTCCACGAGCACAATCAACATGGGCTGAGAGGGTCTCACTTTACTTTATGAATAGACTTACATTACGTCTTGTGAAATTACTGAGCAGCTGTTAGAGAGAAAAGAAAACATGATCAGTATTCTTTTGTAGGGACTTACTGAGGCCCAATCATCAAATACACATGGTAAATAGAAATGGTGTCTTGAATAGGTGATAAGCAATCAACTACAAACAAAAGTGGGACACTGTGACCTTACATTCAGCTTGAGCAGTAAATTAACATATCTGTGCAGCATACTAGGAAATTAAGAGGACAATGAGGACAAAATAAATTTAAAACCAGCCATAGGCAACATAAATCCAAAATACCTAATATAGGCTAATTACAGTATATTTTAAATCCCACATACCCAACTTTGGCCATTTAATCTTTTCAACAGCAACCAGCATAGTTGAGTTTACAGACTTAACTTATATGATTAAATAAGGCATATGACATGATCTAATCATGAAGCAGTTACCTGAAGACAGATGAGTCAGAGAATGGGCTCAATTAACTTGATTTAACCCTTGCTGCCACACTCCCGCCCCAGATCCCTGATCTCAGCCCCGGCTAGCTCTCGTCCTGGGGCGAGGGCGGGCGATGGAGGCACCCTCCGCCGCTCCCAGCTGGGGTTTGGAGAGTGCCTTTGTGGGTCCCGGGCAGCGCTAGCAAGCCTCGCGGTGGTAAATGAAGAGCGGATCCTGCTGGGGGCTAAGTCCAAGTTTATTGTAGCCCAACGGGGCCAAATATTCCAGAACGGTGCCAGCCAACAGGAACAAGCACAAGGTGCTTGCACTGGCTTATAAACTGTAAGGGAGGGGAAGACCGGTAACCAATGGGGATAGGGGTAGGGAGTGGCCCCGGGATGGGGTGATACAACGTGGTCTAATGGGGAAAGGATATGAGAGGGGCCCCAGGCCCTCACCCAATCACCCGGTGCCCAAGGTGGAAGCTTCTGGATGGATGGGAAGGGGCACTGAGTGATAGACAAGGCACCCAGGGGGGGTAAAATGCCTCTTTCAGGGTGATGGATAGATACTGGAAAGGCGGGAAGGGAGGACAAGGCGGGAAAACTGGGGATAAACCAAGTTGCACACGGGGGTACAAAGGAATAAACCAATACATAATACAGGGATAATAAAACATACAAATAACGCAACTCCACACTTCTATTACATACAGTGCCAACACCCCTTCTGTCCTGCCCACCCCTCTTTAATAGCCGGCAACCATCTGGCAGGGCACTCCAGTCACAGGACTCATCCCACCAGGTTTCACTTATGTCAAATCTCTGGGAGTGGCCCAAAGGTTCCAGTTCCTCTTGTTTGTTCCTCATGCTGCAGGCATTAGTGTAAAACATTTCAGGTGTGGTACTTTGTAGCCAACACCTGGTGAAGCAGATTGAAGGATCCCATTAGTGCTCATTTCCTCCAGTTTTGGCATCCCATCATACATCACTGGAGAGCCTGGTTTTGTCTTTTTCCCCTTCTACTCTTTAGCAATACAACATAAAATGATAAGTAAATACCCAGAATTTATGCATTATGCATTTCCAGTCATAGATACTTGCAGATTTCCACAAAGAAATTTAATATAAAAGGAGAATAAACTAGTGGGCATTTGCCTAGATTTCTTTATGTTCTAGACTGGTCCATAGATGCTCTGACTGATCAGTGCTGCAGATTATGCAGATGTAAATGATGTCTGAGAGGCTTAGGATGTTTCACACTCATGGTGAAACCTATGCTACATCACACATTCTTACAAATTTGTCAGTGGAACTAGTGAGATCACTAACTCTTGCCATAAAGAAAATAATCAGCAAGAAATCGCCTAATTTTCAGTTTATTAGTAAAGTTTTCTAAATCTATTTAGATAATTTAGATACTTCATGCTGTGCATATTAAACCAAGGTAAAACATGAGTTGGAGGTCAAAAAAGGTAATGCAAAGGAAATTCTTCCACAATAATGAGAGGCTGTGAGTGTCTTTAGTTACGTATCAGCACAGTCTAATGAAGACCACTCCATTTACATTAATGGACCTACACCAGCTCATACAAGTGAACTTGTGTCATGCTACTATTTTTCTCCTTGTAATGACAGTCATCTATGTCTCTTTTGTTTGTTCATACAGTTGCTTTTTTAAGAATAAGGGACAAATGCACAACAGACTTGATACCTTTCCTCAGGATACAGGTGCCTTATATAATGTGTGCTAAAAGGCAATATCTGTTTGCAATTGTAGAGAGTGCAAAGAAAAGAAAAGCCACAAAATCCCAGAATATTCTAAGTTGGAAGCAACCCACAAAGATCTATGTACAAATTACAAAAATAATGCTGAGGTCAAGTGTCAGAGTTATTACTGGCACCTGTTTACATTCTCAAGTCATAAGAATGAAAGTCAGTAATAATATGATTTAATACCTTTAATAATAATATCTTGAGCATGCCAGCTCTTCTCCTGGTCTTCTTAAAACATATCACATTTCAAGTATATTGGTTCAGAATCTCATTCACTGTTGGAGTGAGCATGCTCTTCTTCCAGGGGCTAGAAACTAGTCCTCATATTTCGCATAAATCTCAAAGTGAGAACTGAGTATTTAAATTTCTCTATTTCTTTAGTGAGCTGCTACTCAAAAGTACAAAATTAGAGAGGAACAGAACTTCAATGATATTTCCTCTGCTTTAACTTTGTTGACTCTCAACTTGTTTGTGCTTCACTGCTTCAATAAAGGGCAAACTGAAGTACCACTACATGCATGTGCACATGCATGTGTGCACACCTACGGACATTTTCACCATTTATTTCAAGAATGTACATTTCTCTCAGGCTAAATCATAAGCAGGATGTGCCTTGCCTTCTCAATTTAAGGGATATAATGAAAGAGCTTTTAGGATAATGAACTGTCCTGTACCAGAAAATAGGGTCCATTCTTTTAGATGCATTACCTTCCACACCAGTACCTAATGAACAAAATTGTTTGAGTGGATGGAAGTCCAATTGTAAGGATAAGAGATCTTTTTATGTGTATACTTGGAAAAGAAATACTCCATTATGGATTTTTAATCACTCTGTGATCATATGACTATAATGCATCCCTGGAATAGTAGTCTAGGGATGCATTTTAGTTTAAAAGTTCCATCCAAAATGCTGTGCAAATGGCCTTTTTTTCTCTCAGTATTAAATTCCTCTTTGTCTGATTGGAAATAAATAGCACAGAACTCTCAATAACTGGTTTGATTTCTAAGCTTTTTATCATATAAGCTATAATAAATTATTCCTTGTGACATAAAGCACATCATATATTTCCTGTGAAGCTGCTGGAAAATGTAAATGCACCATTACTTCAGCCACATTCTCTTTGCAAATCAAACACTGCACCTGATAGTTTGTAAGTTTCTTCAGAGTTACAAAAATGTCACAGTTATATTAAAAGCTGCCTAAAACTTGTGAACTTGAAGTTATAGTAACCAAAAAATATAGATTTCAATTAAAAATGCAATTTTTAATGAAATGTTATTTTGTTCAGAGAGAAAACCTAAGGTTATGAATTAAAATTTAATAGGTTCATTCCAGTATTTACATAATGAACGACTTTGATGTTGTTCAGACATGCTCAACAAAGTGTGCCTGCTGTGTTCAATTCCATCTCAAATATGCAATAAATTAAAAAATGCAGTCTGCTATTGTGACTGCAGTCCTTGGTTTGACCTGGAGATCCCTCTAAAACATCAGCAGCATTATCAATAACACCATTTTTACCTTTGATCATATAAAAGCATACCACTGGAAGTTTCTTTCTGAGATTTTTGGAAGGCTATAGCCATCTGAAATGCCAATCTCCCCTATGGGAAAAGGAGCAGTTTGTTTGTTGAATGGACTCTTTTCCCAAACTGCATGTTGTTGAAATATTCTCAACTAGTGCAAGAATAAAAGACCATTCTGTGACCTTCAGCAATTAGGTCTTTGAAGTCATACCTGAGGTAGAAATTCCAGCAGAATCATTATTGGGAACAAAAATGGCAATAAAATAAATATATGAAACAAAGTTTCCAGATTAAATACTCTTCAGATTAGTTTCAAAACTAAATTATAGCTTTTAATTTATCATTTTCTTCACTCATAATTTTGTCCTGAAGCGTACTTGCTTGGCCAACTGTCAGATAATTTATGTGTATCCAATGTCTCTGAGAAGGAATATTTTAACGATGTTTTTCCTCTGGAGGACCAGAAAGTTATTGCTATGAAGCAATATTTTCCATTTGGCTATTAAGAGTTAAAACTAGTTCTTAATATGTGCACACCTCACATTGCAGTTTTATCCCAAGAAAACATGGTTATACAGAAGTATCAAACTGTGACATTGAAAGTGTGCAAATCTATCAAACAAGTTCAAAGTATTTTCAGAAAGTAAAAAAAAAAAAAAAAAGAGCAATGAAAGATTAGCAGACAATTATGTTTGCTATTTTAGTCCTATTAGTAACACTTCCATTAAGAAAGAAATTTGGGGTTGGATTGCAGGGTATTTTTTCCATCTCCCTTTCCTAAGGGAAAGCATTTATGTTTTGAAAAAACATAAAAAAATTTTCTATTAAAAACCACATGTAAAGCAAAAATATGTTCTTTTACAGTTTCCAACTAACACTCAGAATATTTTAAGAAACCTAGAAAATTTCTGAAAAAATTTCTGTGATAAAATATAATCTCAAATCTATTGTTCTGATAACAAGTTTTCCAAATGGATGTAAGTTATAATTTAGCTAGTTTTATTTCTATTAAAGATTTTTTGAGTTCAACGAGGGCAATAACAAAAATGGCATCTGTTTACAAATCCTGCAAAAAAACTTAGAGTTCTTGGCTCTACAAACTCTGAATATAAACTTACAGAAATTAATAGTTTGATTGAAGCCTTTCATTTTTTCAAAGCGCAACTATTGGAAAGCAGTAGTTTTCTAACCACTAGCATGAAAATTTTATGTTATCTATTAATTTTATAGAATTGTGAGGATACATAATCCTTCCTATTGCTACTTTTTAAAGTAATTGTCTTAAGTTTCTATCTTGCTTTTCACCAAATTGTCAGTTTTAAGATATGGATTAGTCAATGCTTGTTTCAAGTAGTTCTTCTTTTGGTTATTTTAAAACTGGAGACACTTCTTTTCCACCCTCATTTAAAACATTTTCTCATCACATCAGCACATTCTCTGAATATATCTTTAGATGTGTCAACTCAGGGCAGTGACAGACATTTCCACAACTGTCTAATGAGGGTAGATATAAGGCTTGTCTACATATGGAAGTGAAAAGATTAAGCTACTTTGAAGTAAAGCAACTCGTTTTTCATGGGTGCCTCCAGACTTCAGTGCAATTTAGTTTTTACATATTGACTTCACACCTTGACAGTCTTCATGCAGTCCTGATCTCAAGCAAGACTAACCATAACATGTTAAACTATTATTCTGAGAACACTGGCACTTTACAGAACCCTTTTCCAGAGAGATTTGTGTCTCAGTGGTGCTCCTGTATGGATTTTTTGATACAGATTCATTTACCTATTACATTCATATCCTCATGAGAACATTACTAAGCACCTTTTTCTATTTAGACATTTATTCTCCCAAAACATATAGAAAATCACTATATTTTCAGATACTTGATATATTTGTCTGAAACTGTGCAAAAGGCTAAAATTAAAGATAAGGTGTAGACACAAGTCCATACATATATATATATATATAAAAGCAACATGCTAGATTACTCTCCTAACAAAGCAGACTGAAAATGAAAAAAACCCACCTCAGAACTGTATGATGGAGTAACACAAGGCTCCTTTCTTTTGTCTCCTGGACTTACTGTACAACCAGACTTTTAATTAATTTACATCTCTGTAAAAATGCAAAAATATTTCCTTCATCCAAATCTTGTTATGTCCCTAATACTTAGTAATTAAACTTTTTAGAACATGGATTATTTTTCACAGCAAAAATCAGAGTTTAGATCCCCACAATTTCAACAACAGTAAATATTTATTATATATAAGAAAAGTCACATTTTGTAATCCCCTAAAATAAAATAAAACCTAAAATTTCTACTATAGGAGTATTTAACTAAAAAAAAAAGAAACAAAAAAACAAGCAAACAAAAAACCTCCACAAGCAAGCAAGGAAAATAACACATGGTGTGGGAATAATACATGCACAGAACTTGATCTTGAACAATTATTTCTATTTAGAGCTTCATAAATCACTGACATGTGGGAAAGCATTTAATTCTTTGCCTGCCCAGCCCCTAAATGTGAAGAAATAATAGAGATGGCATGGATTTTAGCTGAAATTAGCTATGCACCTGTTTCTATGAAGTGTAAAAGTCTATCATTTCTGGAAATTATCAGAAACAGGATCCAGCAAAAGACATTTCCTATTTTTGTGCTGTGTAGATTGGATTTTTAGGTTGCTTGGAGAAAGTTTTCTGTCAGACCATATCCAGGCAAGATCTAAGAACAGAACTTAATCATTAGGAAGAAGAAAAACTGTATAGAAATATAGGCTTTAAGGATCACTGAAAAATGAAATGGTGAGTTTATTATTACATTCTAAATCCTCATCATTTTCATGTGTGGAGACAGTAGCCATCATCAACAGCAGAAGCTATACCTCTTGTGGATGAAATAAGGAGGTAATTAACTATATCAAACTGAGACCGTTACTTTTTATAGAATGGTTGGAATTGGGTAAAGTGGGGACAAGAAAGGGTGCAAATGTTCTTGCAGAATTTATTTATACTTACAGGAGGAGGGCAGTATCCTAGAGAGCAAGCACTTCCCAGTGATGGAGAGTATATGTTTTGTGTGCTGACTCACAAACGTGAACTAGGTTTGAGTCAGGTTACAAATTTTTCATTCAGCAGTAATTGAAGATCTGAAGCTAAGACATTGATAGAAGCAAATTTCTGTTGATTAATTGTTTCCAGGCTTGGTAATATAGCACTTTGGAAGGATTGAAGTGTTTCCTTTTTTCCACAAGTTCTAAATAGAGGACAAAAATGCATTATATATCCTGACAACAGTAAACTCTGTATCTAAATGGCAAGATACTTTCACTCTGCCCTGCTTCCTCTATTGCTATGTCCCCCAGCTTAAAATCAGAGGTTTATTGGTATACAGTATCAAATTTAGACATAGTCTCATTTCATCCCACTTCTCTGCAAATTCTTTCAAAGCAACTTCATAATAACACTAATAAAAATCTTTAAAATCAAAATGCAGGCTTTGCTGGAATATGAACATTTGAAATTACCTGAAACAGTATATCTTTGTTGCTTTGTTTTCCAGACAAAAATTTAGATGTGTCAAAAAGCTACTGTCTAAAAGTCACTAATGTGTATATTGTCTCTACAGTTAAGTAAAAATAATTTTGAGAAAAACAGCCTGTATTTTCAATCATCCGCTTTCTATGGATATATTACTCTAGTTAAAAAATATGGTTAATAGTGGAAATTAAATGTTCCATTATTATACAGTGATAGAGCCTACTTTTGTTGCCTTTCGTGGGCTTTGATCATTAAAGTAATGACCACAATTACTTTTTGCCCAGAAGGGAAATATTTTTCTCAGTGCTGTGCTGCAACTGCAACTTTTACAGTCTCTGGGGGTACAGCTTATATATTGGATAAAGTTAGCCATAGAGGGTATGGCTAGGTCTATGGTTTTCTCTGTGTCAAGTGTTATTGGCATAATGTCTATCAAAAAAAAATTAAATTCCTGAAGAATTAAATAACAACATTATAGGAGTCTACCTTGCCCTTTCCTCACAGTATCTCATGATACTCTCATGTCAATCAAGTTCAGAGCTGGGTTAGTGGTACCATTTATTACCAACTCTAAAAAAGAAGTTCAAGGCAAACTGCTGTTTTGATTCTCTCAGCAGGGAGCAACACTTTTAATAGGCGTGTGCATCTGCTGCACATAGAATGGAAATATCCTTGGCTAGCTGCGCGCGCGCCCATCTGTCAGGATGGCGCGCTGCCTGCTGCCAGGTCGCTCACATCACTGCCACATGGCATAAATGCCAGCAGAGGGACAACTTATTTGGCCAGCCTGCTTGTCAGTAAAAGTGAACAGAGCTTCTGCAGGACATCATTACAAATGCTTTGATAGCAACTGTTCAAACTAGGTGTCCTCTTAATATATTTTCATATTGTAGCACCTAGCCCTCAAATATTACCACAAGTGTCTTTCACACATGTAGCAGTATGTCCCATGATGAAGATTAGCCTAATTTAAGTATACAATGAAACATTTCCACTCTCCTTTTAGCATAAAATACTTGCAAAAATAGTAAATATTTTTATGGTAATTCCATACCAACAACCAGTACCTAGTGGTATAGATATTAAGTTAAGCCTTCCACTCTGAAGCTTATTTACTGCCTTCTGACTCTGAGGATTTCTCTATCTTGACGTTTTCCAAATTACAGTTTCCTTTTCTGAATAGCAAAAGCAGCTATTTTGCTTTATTTCCCAAAATAGCAACATTCCTCTTTGATCACTTATTATTGAGAAATGCTTTTTTCTGAGAATAAATGCAGATGATCTCATTGTGTATTTCATTTGCTAGATTAATAAAAAGACCCTTTGCTAACAAACTTTCAGATTCTCTTATGGCCTCACTTTCAAATAAAGTAGATGCAACATCAAATTTTCCATTTTCAGGAAATGATTTATAGAATAGAATTATTTTATTTATAATTTATTTTTGCAACTTATTTTTTTATTGCCTAAATTATTTCTGATACTTACTCAAAAAATTCTGAGGAAGAGTGTCTGAGGAAGCATACAGCTCCAACTAAAGATGAGGTATATATTATTAAAAGTTGAAAATGGCAAAAATTAATTATTTATGTAGGCAAGAATCTTTTTCTTGAGTTTTGGTATAAAGTAATGTGCACAAGGTCAAAATCATCACTTAAGTTGAAAAATATGTTGCTTAAAACAAACTCACAGAGTTTCTCAGAACCATTATCTCATTATTCATCATAATAAGTATAAGGAAATATACCCAGAACTAATACTGCACTGCCCACTGGACTAAGGTCCAAAGGTAAGGACCTATCTTAGTAAGGTAATATAATATTTTTATCAGTATTATGTGCATTTTTATATTACTTCTCCATAATTGTGGTTTGGTTTATAGTCCCTCATCTGTTTAAAAAGAAATAATTAAATGACAAAATAAATTCAGCACCAGAGAGCACATATCTGCATTATTAGAGTCTTAAATATACAAATAAGTAATCTCATCAGATTGCATACAATACAGAGGGAAGTAGACTAATAGATCAAATAGGGTAAATGATTCTTGAATTTAGAGGAAAACAAGAGGATTAAAAGTAGCCTGTATAGATCTTTGTGATACCAGAAGCTGAGAAGTGGAGCATAAGGGCTGGGTTCTTCACTTATGTGCTGCGTGGCTCATACTGCCTAGCTGTAGGCACACAGTTTGTGGTACCTGGGAGTGGGGCTGAGCCCCATCCCCAGTGGGCACAGCTGTGAGCAGCAGGTGAGCAGCACTGACAGCAATGAGCCATGGAGGGCCCGGGCACTGCCCAACCTCCCAAGGGAGCAGAGGGCACACAGGGGCAGTGCATCAGCATGAGGGGATAAAAGGCTGGGCTGAAGAACAAGGGCAGACACTCACAGTCTTCTGAAGTGAGATGATGTTGCTCTGTGTGGGCAGATGCTTGAAGCCTTCTGATGTGGTCTGGTGTTACTCTATATAGGTGAACGCTTAAAGCCTTCTGAAATTGTATAGTGATCATCTGTGGCCATCTGTGACACAGTGTTATGTGCTGTGGAGGTTAGTCCATGGGCAGTGTCTTCTCTGTCAAGGGTGCAGGATTTCGGCTTATTGAAGACCCTCCCTGGAGTGCTGTGCCCAGCTCTGAAGCTCTCACTGCAAGAGAAAGATGGATCTGTTGGAGCAGCTCCAGACAAGGGACACAAAAATTATTAGAGAGCTGGAACACCTCTCCTATGAAAAAAAAAAAAGCTGAACCTAAGTGACCCATCATATCCTCTCTCTGCCTGGGGAGAAGAAGGCTTCAGGCAGACCAGTATAAAGGCAGCTTATAGGGAAGATGGAGAGAGACTCTGTGCTAAGGTTTGTAGTGACAGAACAAGAGGTAATTGTTTTAAACTGAAAGCAGGCACTTTTATGTCAGATCCAAGAAAGAATTTTTTTACAACGAGGATGTTGAGACACTGGGACAAGTGGCCCAGAGAATTTTCTCAACTATTTACCTCTGTAAAGGCTCAGATTTGTGCTCTTTGTAGCCGCAGTGCTATCTGCTTTAGTTCTGCTGAATATGAATTGTCATTTGCAAAACTATTTGTACTAAACAAGAATAGTATAAGTATTGTAGTAAATGTTTAGAAAATAATTTAATACCTTAGATCCCCATGATAATGAAACGTTTGGATATACAATATAAAGTGAAGTGTAATAATATGCAAACAAACTACATAATGCAAACTTAGAATAATATTTAGTTTACAATGTACAAACATTCCATAAACTGAAGTCTTCTCACTGGGATTTTTTGATAGAAGTTATTTCTTGATGAAAGATTTGTTTGGGTTTTTTGTTTTGGTTTGTTTTGGGGTTTTTTTCAATAATTGCTTTCTTCCTGTTTAAAAATCAATAGAAATCAAACATGTAAACCTGTTTCTCTAGAAAGACATTGAAAGTTGAATCGTATTCCAGAACACTGTTGTGTTAACAATGCTAATATTCTGTATTTTAGATATCTAATCAAACCTTGCTGTTGGGTCAAGATCTGTAATCCAGATTCCCAGCAATGGATAAATTATATCATGGTGCATAGCACACCATACAAAAGACAAACCTAGTTGTGGAGGGGTGACTCCAACAGGGAAGTGGTTGTATAGTGGAACAGACAAAAAATTACCATGAAACCACAGCCACTCTTGAAGTACAATATTATTTTTATCAGGAAGGTTTTCTAGATTTCAGACAGCACTTTATAAAAAAAAAAAATTTGAACTTTTGTATAGAAATTGTATTTGAAAATTGGAATAGGATATTTTTAGACACTTTTCTCACAGGCATACCCTTTTTCTACTGCTCACATAAATGTTTTTTAATGAGAATGAATTTTTTTCTTAATATTTGTGAATGTATTTACTTCTAACAGTAGACAGATAAGAAGCAATAGGAAATTTCACTAATCACAGTAAATTTCAGTATGACAAGAAATGTAACTTCTCAGATGCCTATGATGAGTTAAACAGAAATTTAATCTAAAACACGTGCTTAGCAGGATTGTATGCTCTTATATTCTACTGTAAGATGTGTTAGCATTTGATTTGATTTTAAGGACACATTTCATTAATGGCAAATAAATTTATAGAGGAAATTGCCAAAGATAAAATACAAAGCTTTCTTATAATTAAAAATAAAAATTTCAATTACATCACTGGTGCATATGAAAAATTAACAAAATATGTTTTTCTAATACTGAAGTGATATAAATATAATGGCAATAAATTAATTTATAAACTTCTGTGGTTTTCCATTTGTTTCATAGGAAAGCTATTTCTTCAGGCTTCTGTGTTATAACAGAGGTTGTAAAAACTGATTATCAGTTACATACACAAAGTTAGTGAGTACACTTGAATAGCACAAATAGGTGCATACATGACAGTACTAGAAAAAGAGCTTGAAAATCAAGACAAAATCAAATCCTGCCAGCTGTAGAAAATTAAAATGCTCCAACTAGGAGAATTTTACTAAACTTTACTAAAACTTTCATTCTTTTGTGCTTTTTACAGTGGGAGTAACATAGTAATGAAGGTTTTCAAATTCACCTTTGTAATTTAATTCCACTCAAAGATGAGAGAGAATTTTTGTGGCTAAAAGTCATAAACCACAAAGCCAAGATTTTGTACAGGTATAGATAGTTTAGGGTTTTTTAGTTTTTAGGGATTTTTTTACCTAAACCCATAAAGTATAGATAGAAATATATTGTTATAAGGTAGCATAAGTCCATATAATTTTTATTTTATCTGCATATATATTTTAGAGTCAGGCTGTCAGTATTCTCTCATTAAATTTGAGCACTGTAGAATACAACAAGACCCTTACCTATAAAGTATCGTAGATAAGGTATTACATAGATAAGATATTATTGCTGAGTGCTTGTTTTACTCAGCAGTTTCACCTGTATGAAAAACAGGTGAAAACTGTAAACTAAGGATGGTTTGTCTCTCTGTACCATGTATTTCTTGCCCAGAAAGAATTGTCTCCTCAAAGAATCAAAATCTCATGTGGTAGTTTTGGAACAGGAAAAACTATACATATTTAAATAGGGACTAGGAATCAATTAGAAGCAGAAGAGTAACACAGCAATTTTTGAAGTTCCAGAAAGTCAATGAATGGACATTTCTGTAAAAAACAAAAACCAGAGCAAAGTTATGTCAAAGAAAGGGTGTCATTTCCAGCCATCAAGCCAAGATGACCAGAAGAAAATGAATTATTATTTAGCATTGTACCCATTTTCCTTTTATTCTATAGCAATATTTTGAAAATATATATTAGAATTGGATTTTAAAAGATAGGAGCTGTTAAAATATTGCTGGATTTCACTTTAAAAAATATTTGTCAATTTATTTTGTATAGAATATTTCCATTAAAAATAATTAACCCTTGTTACAATTGAAAATCTTTTCATTTTGCTATGAGACTTTCCCACAACCATCTTATCTAGTGAGTTATTCTATTGATTAATCTTAAAAAATCATAATTTCTGGAGAAAAAAAATTAAAATACAGGTTGTGCTTATAATTTCAACCAGTTGTCACATACAATCCAGAAATAGAATATTACAAAAGAAGTAAAAACCAAAGACTAGCTCTGGTCATGAGGGCTTTCTTAATGGGATAACTAATACTAACCAGTATGACTAAAAGTGGTGTGACTTAGACAAGGTCAGAATCAAAAACTAATGAAATTTTGTCTAATTGTGCTGAAAGAGAATTCTTACTTAAGCACCCTAGGTAATGTAAGTGCCACACTAACCCATGGCAATGTCTATCTGGTTGTGCACGTTCACTATTGCCCATCAGGGAGATTTCATTTCCTTCACAGGAGGCCATTCCAGTCAGAGTTACCATCCTCACCTCCATTTCAGACAGCTTTCTTCTACTTGCTGTATAGATTGCTGATTAGCATGGCAGCCTACAGTGATTTCAGAGTCATGCTCACTTAGATCTATGCCAAATTACCTCTGAACATGCTTTCGTAACATAGACTGAAAATAAAGACTGAGCTCAGAGAAGCATGAGCTAGCACCTTGGTGAAACTATGGATTAAAACCAATTTCATTGTGAAGAAATCATCAGTGATAAAAGGAAGTTTCAAATGTGAACAGGGAGAACGAAGTCAGCTGCAGAATGAAATACACAGATTGAAAATGGATGGTGAAAATTGCCAATGTATATCAGAATTTACAGGCGGCAAGGGTTTTTTTCAGCCTCGATTAGAACTTCAGTCTATCTTCAGCACTGTGACAACATTACTACTATGCAAAATTAGCTCAGAAAAGACAAAATACTACTGTTAGGTAATGGAAGAAACTGATTTATGAGATGTGAATAAAAAAATATAATCCTATAATTTTGCTAAGTGATGACCTACATATTGTAGGTGGATACAGGCACAGAGGAAGGAAAGGAATTATTTCAAGAATCACAACAGACCATAACTGCCTAAAGAAGTAATAGCTTACCTTGAGAAAAAGATAATTTTAGATGTATATTAGAAAATATTTTCTGATCCATTAGACTCTAATACAATCTTCTGAGGAAAATGCTGAAATCCTGGTTAGGAAATTTAGCAATTATATGGAAAAGAGTAACAGGCATATGCTAAGAAGAACAGTAGAGAACCTGCAAGAAATTGAAAACAGTTCTATCAGGTCATCTAATTCACCTTAATTTCTATGAAAATTAATGTTTGCTCTTTTACCTTGGTTTAAATTTTGCTCATCCAGTCATGAAACCTTTTAAATCTCTGGACTCTAAAAATGTCTTTCATTCAGGCAGCAGTGCCTCAAAGCTATTCACGCTAATTAGCCAAGGTCATTTAAATACATTTTTCATGAAGCACCTTAAACTCAGTGTGCCATTTTATATATTTATCAAATTGCTAATCAATATGCTATACCACAGTTACCACTGGGCCTCGAGTTACACAGAATGCTGCACGAATTTAAATTGTGCAAGATGCTTTCTGCATAAATGAAATTAAAGTGTATGCATTGATCATTATTCACAGCAGAAAAGAAATGGCCTAAATATATTCACATCAGAAACCTGTATTTTAAGTAAATCTTAACTGTATTGTTGGCTTCTTTTTTCATATGTTTTTTAACAAGCCTTGTATTACACTAGCTTCGATTTCACTTTCTTTCTCCAGCATATTACCTCCACTGTATTGGTAAAGTAATTTATTCCATCCTCTGTGGAGACCCTGGATCTCATTTGCCAGCATATTTATCTTTCCTGCCACTGCACTGTCATTCATCTGCAATCTCCACAGAATACCAGACCTGTGCAGAATTTCAATTAGGATTGATTCAACTAAATCCAGGCCACAGAATTGAGGCTGACAGGGTGACCCCCTGAGAATTTAATATGTTGAATTCTAAAAAAAAAAAAAAAACAAAACAGAAATACTGCAAAACAGAAAATAGCTCAAGTTTAACACCCTAATTCATTAACTCCTCTATACACTCAGTTCAATCTGTCTCACAATAGGTTTTTACAGACTATTGTTTACAGTAGTTTCGACTACCACAGGAAAGACATAAAAATCTCTACTCTTCCTCTGAGGTCTAATCAACTTAAACTCAGACAGCTTGTAATGAACAGGGGAATTATTTCCACAGAGGCTGAGCTACCTTAAGCTTTCTATTCTGAATATATATATATTAAAAAATCAGTACAGTATAGGTATACAGGTGAAATAGCTTTTATTGGATCCTTGACTTCACAGACCTTCAGTACGTTTCAGTGTAACCATTGACAGGCTTCATCTGCTTGTCAGTTAAATGTCCTAAAAGAATTTAGTAAATAATATGTGGTTACTAGAACAGCCTTGTAGGTTTCAAGGCAACTAAGCTCGAGAAGAACAGGAATCTGAGAGTTCTTTTTTCTTGTAGTATGTAAGTAACCACTATTTGAGTTTTAACTTTACCTTAGTTGTGCACAACTTGAGACTTACTTTGATTCTACACCAGAAGCAGGTGTGCGCACATACTCAGTTTTACACAAAGTATTACAATAGAATAGAGAAATTATAACAATTCCACATTTAATTAGATTTTTTGTTGTTATTAAAGAATTATATTGACTACATTTTCCTTAAATATCAGTGTATGATATTATAAAGTTAGAATTATAGAATCAGAATATCCTGGGTAAGAAAGGACCTACAAGGATCATTGATTCCAGTTTCTGGCCCTGCACAAGACCACCTCAGGAGTCATACCATGTGCCCGAGAGCATTTACCAAAAAATATAAATTTCTACCTCACTTAATGTGAAAGGTAATATAAGGACTCACATATTAAACACTTACCAAACATTAAATCAAACAAAAGAATATAAATGGAGTTGGGAAACATTGGCATACACACATATTAATGTTGAATAGAACATGCATCTGCTGGAACTGGATGAAATAATTAAAAGAAGCATTGATTTGTTTATACATAGGATGCAAGATCAATGAGTCTAGCATAAGCAAAGAAATTAAGACATTAATTGATATTTGGGGGGATGTCATATTATTTTAACTTTAACTTAACTATAAAATATTTCATATATGACAAATATTTTGGAATCTTTCATCTGAATCTTAATATTTCACCTGAGTGTTAATTTGTCACAGTGAGAAATTGCTCAGTGTACTAGGATTATTCTTAAGAAGAGGCACAAATATCACCAATTTAAAATTAATATCTATACAATGTCCAGAAAGAATCCCCCATGGTCACAAGATCCATGTGTCACTTCAGTAAAGAAGAAACTGCATTAATACATACTTTATTGCATTGAAATATCTGTGCCATTGGTCTGTAAGCATAGCGTACAGTAGTGGAGGTACAAAAAAAATTGTGCTCCCAGTATATTCTTCAATAATTAGTGCTTTCCAAGGCTATTCTGAGGTACCAGATTATGACTGTAATAAATTAGAATTTTCCTCCAGTACTACATAGAAGTGCTACAATAAACACATAAACACAAAGCATAAATATTTTACATTATCCTTTCTTTGGGGAGTGGATGGGGAAACACAGATGTGTTGCTGTACTTCTTACAGCTGTCATGTGGATACAAGGGAGAATTTTAAAGTATGAGAACATAATGAGATTCAAATTAAATTGGAGAGGATACAGGGGAATTTTACAATCTTCCTTCATTTGTCTAGATTTGATCCATTTCTTCACTGATCATAAACCAGATTTTCCATACACTGGACATTTTTATGACTAAGTCCTTTATTCCTAAGTTCATAACCTGAAACTAAGATCCAGTTGTCCTGTTGAGGGTTTTTTTTTCAGTACTTGGAAGGCTTTCTATGTGTTATAGTTAAAAAAAATAGGCAAAAATGTTAACAGAAACTACTGCTGGTGGAAATTTTGGCAGCAGATTTACAACATCATGTTTCTTGCTTTATTACATAACACCAAATATGTGAAGATCAAGCCTTTATTTTCCCACTTGTGATCAACTTATAGTTAACCTGACCCAAAGCCCCATTACTGAAAGTCACCCTAGGCAGTGTCTCATAAACTGTCTAATCATTTGACTTACCTACATTTCATTTCACCCATTCTTTTTCTATTATACTTCCTAAAACCTTCAAAAGTTTTAAGAATCAATCAATCACCACATATTTTTCTACAAATACTGTACAAAAAGAACTTCATACATCTGTCTTCACTATGTTGCCCACTATTTTCTTTTCTTTCTGATGGTGAGGTATTTTGCTCTTTCAATTTATTTTTACAATCTTTCTTATTGCACTTTATTGCTTGAAACTGTTTTTTGTGACTTATCTGGTCTGATTGGTCTATTATTCTTATTCTATCACCTTAAATTCAGATCTTTCCCATTCTTGTGTAATTTCTGTTTGTTTTCCAAGTCCCTAAAGTGATCTGTTAAAGCAACATAGACCTTTTGCTGCATTTTTTATCTATATTTCTCACTAGGAAATTTTGCTGTTATGCTTTTAATAAGGTGACACTTCAACTATACTGACTGACACTTCAACTATACTATTTCACCCTTAGAACATATTCCTAAGAGACCTTTTTTTCATTTTCAGTGATTTTATTGAGATTTTTGTTTGGGTTTGTTGTCACTTTCATGATGCCACTATATTTAAAATACTCAGAAATTCCACTCCTTCCTTTATAAATCAAACAACCAAAGAGAGAAAAAGTGACCTTTTAACTTTCATCTGTCTAGACATACCTAATTCTGGTTAAGTCTCATTATATTTCTATTACTCTTGTTATTTCAGCCTGTTTCTGATCATATATTTTATTCACAAAAAATGTCACTTATATAAGTCATTTTTAGAAGTTTTTTGCAGTTACTGTTTGTTCAGAATAGAATTTTCAAAGATATGTCGACACTGTTTACTTTTCCAATTGAAACTCGCTTTATTGCTGAATGCTTTTTTTTTTTTTTTTTACATTAAATATAATCTTTTCAACATAAAGGAAATCCTTCTCTTATTAATGTCCATAGCAATTTTACATTGGCCTCGGTGGCCCTGGACTGGGTATCTGCCATAAGGAGCAGGCAAGGATGAAGTAAAGATAATAACTGAGGCTGTAAAGTTTCTAAGTATTTTGTCTACTAGCAGCTCTGCTCAATCCTCATTGCTCTACTCTTCCTTTAAGTTTTAAATAGGTAGAACAGTAAGTTCACCAAATGTGCTAGAACACCTTCAGAATACACTGTATAACATGGTGTGTTCTTGAAGTCTATGTAAGCACAAACACATTTCCTATTTGAAGCCAGGCTGATAGACATACATGACAAAATTTCTGTCTCATTACTTTTTAATAACTGTGTAACTTAATTTTGTTCTAGAGTTTTACCCAACTATGCAAACACTTAAAAAAAAAAAAAAAAAAAGGAGGTGCATTATTCTAGGCTATTCCCACTCCTACAGCAAGAATAGTAGAGGGAGAAGAGAGGAGCCAGAAATACTGCAATGATGGACAATTCAGGACATTGGACATCTGTTGATTGGATCTAGGATCATTATTTCTGCCATTTACTGAATGGATTGTTGGGGGTAGTTTTCCTTTGGAGATATTTTCAAAAATGAATAATGCAATTATAGAAATAGCTGTATGATGGCATGGCCCCACCTGTTATTTGTTCTCTATCCAATACTTAAAGCATCAGAGATTCACCATTCTACAGTTTAGTAAGACTTTATTCCTCACAGACTGTGCTCCAAAGTACAGACTATTTCATCTGAGCTCTGGAAACAAGTTTTGCATATTATCATTTAGCAATGCTTCTTCAATGCATCTGGCAATGTGAAAACTCAAAAATGTCCAAGGTGTCAATTAGACATTATTGAAACATATCAATTATCAGGGCTCCACCACCCTTGTCAATGTATTCACACATTAAGAAAATATGTCCTCCAAAATCATATCCTTATAATCTTAGAGGAGGAGATGCCACCTGAATTAGAAAACTATAAATAGTCGAAGTTCCTCATTAAATCTACATTAATTGCATGGTAATTCATATATCTGCATATCCATGAAACACCCAGATTAAGATACATATACTTAAACACTGCATACTTCAGTAACATTACTTTTTTAATTGGAGACTACCTGATAGTAAAT